TAGAAAACACCGAAACGTATTTTAATTGATAAATAGACAATAAATGACTGAAGCGCAGGAATTGATTTTGATTTGGAATTGAAACACAGTCAGGAAAGTATGTACAATGAAAATTAAGGTCACTGTATGTTAATGTTTTCGTTTTATGTGAAAAATATTTTTTTCGTGTTGGTAACGTAGGTTATTACCAGTTTTTATTATTTTATGAACGTGTTGCATTTATAGCTGCAACGTTTCTTTATTTCACGATAGTTTTACAATTTGTTATGTAAGTGCCTGCTATTTACGTCTATTGGATATCGTGTCCTGATTGCCAATAATTGGCTGTTCGGTAATAAAAATATCACGTTTTCTACCTAAAATACCATTAAGCAATTGAACACATTTTTTGATTGATTGTGTGGACGATGACCTAAACTTTTGAACTCTACGAGCTAATAATTGGCCAAAATGTTTTGCCCGACCTTAATCTGACAATTACCTATCCGTGTTTAAAATGTGGTTGTTCAGCAACATTCATTCAATTCAACAAGAACACCAATCAAAATTCATAATGAACGTTTAAGTAAGATGCACGGAGAAACTTAAATATGATTTTAATATTAATTTAATTTTTAGCAGTAATTTTATAATTTCATACTTTTTTTTCAGCTGGCAATAACAACAGATATCAATTCAGCAGTCCTCAGAGTGCTCAACGCGCAGCTACACTTTTGGGAACCTCAGTTGAAGAACTATCGAGAGTTATTTTCGGACTATCTTCGGGAGGAATGGTACATATTTAAATTATTTCTATGACTTTCAAGTTATAGATAACAAGTCTTTTCAAATTTTTGACCATTTTTCCAAACAACGAATTTTCAATACAAACAATCTGCTTATTACTTAGTGGTATTTAATACCATTAACTATTAGTAATAGCCATTAAAACAAATATTAAATTAATTTCTTCAATGTATAGAATAGAGAACCGCCAGGAAACTTTGTCGAATTTACCTCGATAATTTTAATGCAACTATAAATATTGAATCGGACTAGTTTTAACCCAACAATTTTAAACGAATTACTGTTATATGAGAAAGGGATAATTGTGCAATTTACGTATTAAGCTGAATTTATAAAATCCCAATTCCTTACGGTTGCTTGCAATGAAAGACTAGATTGCATTTTATTGCATTTGCAGGTGACTCCTAATCAACCAAGAGCTCCTTTCCGGACTCCGTCGCCAACTGATAAAGGGTTGGAGAGGGAGGCAGTTGGAATAGAAGCTGTGGAAGGAATCGTTATGGGACTTTATTCCGAAGTTTTCAACTGCGTGGCGAACTTAATTAACAGGTGATTAATATTTATTGTGGTTTTTAGCGATGTTCGTCCATTTTTGTGTGACTGTAAAGCTTGAAAATATTTTGGCCCATCGCAATATTCGATTTGTTTGTTAAGTTTACTTTTTTCCAGAGCAATATCTGCTAGTACTCACACCACAACTTCGATCTTGCTTGTTGATGCCCCAGGGTTTCAAAATCCCGCCACTTGTGGACGACAAACTGGCGCTTTGTTTGAGGATTTGTGCCATAATTATCTTCAAGAGAGATTGCAGCTTCTCTTCCATCATACTAATCTAGTTGCACCCAAAGATCGGTAAATATATGATGTTACTAAAATTAGCTAGTTTATTATTACGTCGTACACTTTGAGTAAAACTCATTTTTATGACTGGTATGATTTCAGGTATCTTCAAGAAAATATTGACTTTACTTACGACGAAAATGAGAATGAAAATTTAATTAATCCACTGCCTTTGGTCAATCTTTTGGACAAGACTGCTCAAAATACCGTTATACGCACTTCACAGACTGACTTGCATGAGGCAGATAGAAGAGGGCTGCTGTGGTTGTTGGACGAAGAAGCAATTTATCCCGGAAGTAAGTAACTCGGATCACTGAATGTATACAGTTTGGTAGATAATTTGAAGGCGACCAATTTTATATTTGGTCACACTTCACATAAGGAAACTTGAATTAGTGTATTGTACTAATCTATTACTACATTACTTGACTAGTACTTGATGTATTTTCACTCACGCTTATGAAATATGCAACAATATTTACGGGTATTTGTTTTTTTCTGATCTTCTGTTAACTTATCATCAATATGATGTTATTATTGCTTAATGCAATTCCATTCAGTGCCAACAAATTCTAATTTTGCAGCTTAATTTTGTTGTTTGCAGTTTACTTACTTAGGTTTATTTGTTTTGTTTAGGCACTGACGACTCCTTCCTTGAACGCGTATTTAGCCATTATGGCGACAGAGATCATCAGCTGCTGCTTCGAAAAGCACCGGGAAATAACCAGTTCATTTTACAACATTTGCAGGGGACAAATCCAGTACTTTACAGTGCCAAAGGATGGCTGAAGCAAAGTAGGGAAAATCCGGTGTCTAGAGCGGCCGTCGCCATTCTTCAGGAGAGCTGCAAGTAAGTGTTTGACATTTATTTTACAAATGCGTTTACAGGTGAATATTTTTTTACTTACCTCTTATTTGAAATCCACTTGATGGCATTAACAAACATAATTCGTTACTTCTGCCATTAACCGTAAAACTGCATCGGGAACGAAACTATTGCGGACACATGGTTATTTGAATTCTTAATCACAAAATAGCCTAAATGAGTTTGATAGTTTAATACTATTAGTTTGTACATGGTATTTACAAAACCCTCTTTCTTTGAAGCACGTGATAATCCAGTCGCATGGTATTTGATAAATGAAAATAAAGATATAAGAAAGAAAACTATTTTGCAAGTGCGATCTGCTTAGTGAATGCTAATGACCGCGGCTCGAAATGATATAAAATCTTGTTTCAATGCCCTGTTAGTTTTTTCTTTGAAAAGGTGATACTTAACAATATTATGGAACATAGGAATCGTGCGACGCTTTTATCCCATTAACCGTAAGAAATCAAGGACATGTTCCGTGTTTTATTTTTGTTGGGTGTTTTTGCGCTCAATTTGTAGCATTTTCTTACTCGTAATGGTGCTTCACTTCATATTTTCAATTCCAATGGGAGACAAAATCAGAGGCTCAGATGACTAATAAAAATTTTGTGTTGGCTTTCTGTAACAAATCTCAAAAGCATTGGTCAACAGTTTCCGAGTTTTTAATTGTAAAAAAACAGTACCAATACTACTACAAGAAAGTGGTGTTGGAATAGTTATTACTTTGTTGTTAGCTGATCTTAGTGCGATTCATTTGAGACGATCTCTTAGCAGGTGTTTTTTCCTGATTATTTGTTATCACCTGAAATATCTTCCTTTGTAAATTGGGGATTTTATGCGATTATTGTATTAGTTGCTATTAGCGTCGGCCGCACTTCGTCGCTCTTAGTTTCTCAATATTTTGATTTGAAAATTAATTATTTAGCTCTTAGCATCTTAGCTAAGTTTATAACACCAATAAACTAAAACATTCACTAACATCTTCAATATTGAATAATAAATAATCGATCAAAAGTGGTGTTTAATATTTTTTTTTATTGAATCGATAGTAAAGCCTTTTATATAATATGAGTTTTCGGGCTATTTCAGAGAGGATATTAGTAAACTCTTCGTAGCTGTACGAGGATTAGGCGCATCTTGCTTCAGTGGTTCTGTCGTTGGACTGGATGGTTCCCAGTCGTTACGCCGAGCTTCCAGTATTAGAAGAACTTTTACTGGCGGTACCGCCGCTATAAAAAGGAAAAGCATTTGTCTTCAGGTAAACCTACTTCTTAATGTCTTACAGTGGTAATACTTATATTATTATATTTACCGGTACATTATAAGGAGAGTCATTCAAAACGTATTATTATATTCTGTTTGCTTGTTCTGCGAAAAGACAGAAAGTTCATAACGATTCTAATTGCTAACAGTTAGATCAAAAAGGTAAAGTAACAAAGGCTAAGGTCCATAGATATTTTGTGTGTCTATAGAAGACAGAAGAATAGTCACGTTTGCTTCATTTAAAGCGAAATTTAACAATAAAACGAATTATTCGTACATTAGCTCGCGATTACTACTTATTCTGAGATACCATTGTTGAACGATTTAATCGAAGCAATATCTTAACTTTTGAGTATGAGAGTTAAATCATTATACGAGAAAATAAGAGCCAATAAACGAACACAGATGAAAAGGAAAATGATAGAAACTACATATTTTTTTCTTTCCTGGGTTTCAGAAAATGTGAAATAAAAAGGTTTATATCATTTATTTCATATGACTTTTTATTTTACAGCCAATTTTGGTACCAAGCATATAAAGAATCCAATGTGCCCAATTATGGGTTTGTTTTGAACGCTGTTGTCTCGCCGAAACGTAATATGAAATAAACGATATAAACATTTTTATTTCATATTTTGACTGAAACCCAAGAAAGAAAAAAATATAATAACAATTACACGCAGGCAGGAAAAGTAAATCAAAAGGAACTAAATACTTTTATTTTGCTTTATCATTGATTGCCAAAGTAATCTTGGAAGTCGTAGACTTTGTATTTCTGAGTGAATCAATTCTCGTCATTCGCCATCGTCTCATTCCGTTACATATGTTTGCTAATCGCCACTGTTTTTGCGTTTTGTCAATACTATTGGATTTTAACGATTTTATGTACTATTTCTGGGTTCTACTCTTCTTTCATTCATCTATTTGCCTCCATATACTTCCCTTGTAATAAGTTAGAAAAAAATTCTTTTTTTTCTCAGATCTATTAATCATATCTATTCAAACTTCCACCTTTCGTCCATCACTAGTTGTTAACGTGTTCTAAAGTATGATTTTATAAGAGAAAATTAAAGAATACGCATTGATATGTTTTTGGCTACAATTGTTTTGCAACTATTGACCAATTTGTAGCGTTTCTTATTTTGTTTATTAGTTTTATTTTTTATTTGTTCTTTTATTATTCGGTTTGTAATATGTAGTTATTGTATATATTCCAGACAAAATTTACCATCGATGGATTGGTTGAGACACTACGAAGAACGAAATTGCGATTCGTTCAGTGCATCCTTCCTCAACACAATGCTGGATTGAGTGACAGCAACGGAGCTTTAATCAATATTAAATCTCCAACTGGGAATACTGAAGATAGTTTGCTTAATATACCGCTTTTACGATCACAGGTAATTTATCATGCTTCTTTTCCCACATTGTTTATTGAATATTTTCCATAAAGGTCCTACATGTTCACCGAAAATAACCACACATTTTTGTTTTATCATTTGGGAAAAAATATTTTTGAAACATTTGACTAGATTTTGTTATTCACGCAACGGTTATTTACCTAAAAAGATATAATTCCATCATGGAACTTTAAGTTATGCACATAACGCTTCAGGTCTTGAAAAAATTATTTTAATACTATGCCTCTTGTTGGTTCCATTTTTACATGATATATATTTGTTCAGGCGGCCAACTCATAATATGTCATTATCAATTAATAAAATATATGTAGAACTTACTAAGCTACTGTCAAGAAATGTAACCGATAATATGTTTCAGATTCGTGGAGGTCAAATACTGGATTCTGTGCGTCTATACAAGCAAGGCTACCCGACAATTTTACCACTGGGCGAGTTCCGAAGGAAATTCAGTATTCTGGCTGGTGAAAATAAAATATCTAGTCCAGAGTTGGATGAACGAAAAGCGGTCGAAGATATGCTGTTGGCAATTGACCTGGAATTGTCCAGCTACCGCGTCGGATTGAGTCAAGTAAGTGTTTCAGATCTGTTTAGCAGGATTGTTAGTTAATGTTTCTGCAGCTGCCTTAAAACTGTCTGGTACAGAGGCTTAACACGTAACAGACTTAATTGTTTGTTTACTTTCCCTATTTGAGAGTAAAAAGCCTGACTGTTTTACTTTTAATTTTTTTGCTCCAATACTAAACCAATAACTTTTTCAAAATATGCCGCTTTCAACCAAAAAAAAAGGGAAGAAGGAACGAAGTACAAAGCCAAACTGTTTATGTCCCTAGGCGATAACAGTCTTCCGAAAACATTCGCCAACTTTTCCACAATAGTAAATACATTGTTCGTCGAACACATGCGTTGAGTCGTATAAATTAACTGGACTGTAGCAAGTGGATTCATTTTTATAAAACTTTTGTTATTCTATGTTTAATTTTTTGTTAATTCAGTAGCTGCAAAAGGTACGGCGCACTCAAAATTCTCCATAAGTGCAAAACTATGAATTATACCGAAATTCCTAACTTCAGATGTGTTTGCGAGAGTGCTTGCCTTAAAAATAGAAGAGCTTTAAACATTATTTTTACTACAATCTCACTGATATTAAACTTCATTTAAAATGTACTGAGGAAAATGTAGCGACTCCGTTACAAATATATTATTTTTATATCGTTCAATTTTGTTCACTATTTTAATTCTGAGCGTTGTTATTGCACCATTTCTATTATTTGTTAATAGGCAAATATGCATTTTATTCTTGGTTTGTGCTGTTTCTCTTATTCTTAGGAATTATCACCACTTTCGAATAATATTTACTATTCAGAAGAAATTGATTCGGTTTATTTTGATCATAAAATATCAGAAAACTTTCAGATCTCTTAAATTTTTTCCAGATTAATTATTTGATAGCGAAATTGAAATTAGTGATAGATGTTGCTTTCGGTTTGGCATAGTGGCAGACAAAAAATTACTTTTTCTTGATCCAACCTTTCGGCTTTATTTAAGCCATCATCGGGGCTCTAAAAGGTAACGGTGGTCGGTCTTCAAATTAAATAAAAGTTATTTGTCATCAATATAAAATTCAAACGGAACTAAACTGGAAAAAAAAGTGACATTAAATATAAAAGACAAATGACATCAGACATATCAATATAAATTTCAATCAATAAAAACATCTTTTCAACGGTGTCACAGTTAGAGACTGCAATTTTAATGTTTTCAGATGATATTATTTTGGCGATTCTATAATGACTGAACGTAGGATATTTTGTAATAAGTTAAAGTTGGTTTGTTATATTAGTTACTGTTGTAATTGAATTTTGGATTTTATTTATAAGGGACAGTGGGTAATTGTTGCTGATTAAATACTTCCTAATCAGGTCAACATTCTTATTGCGGATTTCAGGACTTGATAGATTTTTTGACCCTTTTGTAACTTTTATAAACTTTTTAAACTTTTTGCTGTTTTATCTTGTGTTGGCGTTAAATTGATATGTCGGTTTATCCTTCGTCTTTTATATTCATATTCACTGTTATATCGGTTCTGTGTGAATTTTATATTGATGACAAATAACTTTTATTTAATTTTAAGACTAACCACTGTTACCTTATAGAGCGCCGATGATGGATTAAATAAAGCCGAAACGTTGGCCCAAGAGAAATAGTATTTTTTTTCGCTACTATCTATTGACTGATCAACTGCAAAAAACAGAAAGCAACATCTATCAATAATCAACAACAATTACAAATAATAGATTATAATACTTTTATTAATAATTAGACAAATGCAAATGGTAAATAATTTGGCTTATGAGGTGCCATTAAACCTTCTAACTTTACAACTTTTTAATTGCGAGATGTTTTTTTGTTGGGGATTCGGTCTGGGCAGTGGTGAGAAAAAGGAAAAAACTTTTTAACTACCAAGCTTTCGGCGATTTATTTTCCGCCTTCTTCAGGGCTGGAAGAGTTATTACCACTGCCCAGACCGACTCCCAAATAAGGAAAACCATCTTTCAATGATTTGTGCACCGGTCAAGAACCTATCACTAATTTTGCAACTTTTTGTTTTAATATGTTCTTTATTTTACACACTTTCCAATCGGTATGTCATATATTATGGTACTATAATAGTAATTTTTATTGTTCACAACGCTTCCCAAATTGTTATTGTGAAAATAATATAATAATCCATTTGACATTTGAATGTGTCCTTGAAAGGTGAGTTAATTAAATAGTATTAAATAGTCCAAATGCAGTTATGTTTTGTGTTGTCACATTGTATATTAATATTTAAACCGAAATATTTTGCAAAGCTAACACTACATACAATTAAGTCGACAATGTCGTTATTTCCCCTAAATACCAATAGCTCATAAGCTGTATATAGAATGTTCCATATAGGTACTATATCGATCAAATAATCCTTTCTATTAAGCAGACATGTTTGTTTCTTTTTCATTTTCATTAAATGCTTTTCCTCCAATAAAAAAATACGCGTTTTAACTTTCATGTGAATCTCTAAAATACAGGCCAACGATCGGATTAAAAAACTCGAAACGAATTTCGTGGGCAAAGCATTACACGCTCGCAATACGGTTCATGTTAACAAACACTTGTTTTTTTTCAAGATCAATTAATATTTATTGGATTTCGGAAAGTGAAAGCGTAGGATTGATGACAGACCCGGTTACATTCAGAACGAAAACATAATTTCAGGTTTCAAGTCGCCTATCAGTGTCTTCAGATTTTTACTCTGCGGTTTGGTTTTCTTTGACTTATTGAATGCTTCTCAAATTGAATCTTCTTATCTGTAATTATTAACTAGTTTCAGAAATAATTACTGGAACGGCAGATTCGCTTCTTCATATTTGGCGTTAAGATATCTTATTGTATTATTTTTTACAGTAAAAATTTAGCTACCTCGCTTAGATCGATTAGACGGACATCTACAAAAGCGCACACGAACAACTTAAAATAGGTGATTTTGATTTTGTTTCTATGCTTGTTTATGTTTATGACAATCAAGCATATTTTGTAGGAAATCATCTGCTCTTGTTGCATAATCAATAGATTCTGCCGAAGAACGCAATCTGAATTTCCATTTATGTTGTCATTCCGTCATAAAACGTGTGTCAATTTGGTAATTAATTATAATATTATTATATAAACTCTTGCACATTTGAATATACCTCTAATTAATTATATCAGTGCAATCACCTCTTAAACCTGCCAAGGGAAATCGGCGTAAAGTTCAGTTGACTCTTTAATATTGACTTTCTCTCATGGTACTGAAGACACAATTAAAATGTGTGCGTCCTGGACATTGCGTGCAGTTGCAGAAATTCAATTTTTTCGCTTGTAATGCCATTCGATCAAGTGTACAGTTATGTAATATTTAATGGCTTCCATTGTTAACAAACAGCGAATATGTTTTATGTTTGTTCTTGAATGCATTGCTTAATTTGCAATCGGATATATGATTTGGTTTTCAGAATAATTACTGAAAAAATACTCACTCACTCATAGCAATGACTATGATTGCTCATAGTTTGCAGCATAATAAAGCAAACTATATTGCTGCTGTGAAGTTTATAGTCAAACTTAAACATTGGAAATCCCAGTGAATTTACGATTAATCTATTCAGAGTGACCATTATCAACAATGCACAATTTTGTAATTATCAGTAAAATATCGACTTTTCTGCTTTAATTTTAACAATCAGTCATATTATAAGCTTAACACAACTTGTTTTTTTAATTAGGCAATAAGCGTAATGTGCATCTTTCGTATGTAATTGTAAAATAGAAAACGCATTTTGATTTCCATTCCTGCGGTTCGGTTACATGACGGCTGCCATTAAACTTAATGAGACTTTTCCACAAATCTTTAATAGGAGTGTTACTTCTTTAATTGGCGAAGATCGTTTTGTTATTATGCGTGGCATGAGGAAGCTACAGACATAACATGGAAATCGAGAAACTTTCTCTAAGGTGTGGAGTCAAAACAAACGATGCATCTAATTGCAACGGTCACTTTTTTCTGCACCATCAACATTAGTCAGGCTGGACTGCTTATATATCTGACACTGTTAATAGTAATGTTGTCTGTGAAATGCAAATTCATTTATTTTTGGTGCAAAGAAGCTTTCTGGTTGATGGACCAAATTGATGAAATTCTTAATTATCTGTTCTTGGAATAGAATTAGATTCATTTAAAAAATATCGATATCTTTCTTGAATTGAAAGTTTTTAATTTTGTGAGATAATGCTTCAAGCATTATTTTAAATTAAATTTTAAAAAGTCTTACGCTGTTATATTTTTTCAATAGTTTGGCACGTGTTTTTTACCGGAACTTTCAAAGCTTAGTTTTATTATCTTCTGTAATGAATAATTCCGCAGCATTAATTATTCGTTTTGCAAATTATTAATCTACTAACTGTTTGCTGTTCCATTTTGCATATTGGGACTACGGAATGAACAAGTCTGTGTACAAACATATGGTTCTCATCGTTTCCGGTACTTATAAATTTCATTCAATTTTCTAGATGTTATTTTATTATTGCAACTATTCACATTACCGTAAATAGGCTTCCTCCTCGCAGTAAATCTTCTAGATTTATTATTTGCTCGAAGTATGCTGGTATTCCACGATACAAGAATTATTACGTTAAATAATCAAGAAATTTTATTCTGACTACAACGGTAAGTTCACTGATTTTAAAGTTTAAGGTGTTGATAATTGCTTTCAATTAATCGACATGACAACATAATTAAGTGAGAAATTTATAAAAACTTTATCAGACAATGAAAAACATAAGGTGGGTTTTCTTGTAGGCTTAGAATCACTTCTTAAGCAATAGAAGTAAAGGAATTGTGCATACATTTTTCAAATTACTCGATTGATTGCGTTATCGAGTAATTATTCGTGAAACAATTGGCATTTTTAATTGCGGGGAAAATATCAATTTATCTTTTCATATGTATGCTAAATACCTGCAACAGGATATTCTGTGTTAGGCAAGATTTGTCAGTGTTGTGGGTGAAATAATGTGTGAGTTTTGTATTATTTAAATGTTTCTCTTTAGTAGCTATCTGAAGCAATACATGCAACTAACATCTAGCTTTTTTCTGCCTGATTTTGTCTTACTTGACATTTTTGTGTCTTTGATTGCAAAATTCAACATTTTCTTTGGGGACATTCTTTTCATGCATTGATATTGTTGGTTTATAATTGTATATGAAAAGACCATCTGTCTATCGTAAACTGAAACTAAGCCAGTATTTCATAACTGTCACAGATACTTAAGATCTCTAATTTTGAGTCAATCATTTTGAGAGAATTTTTTATTCTATGTATACCTTAGATATATTATAGAAATGGTGTTATTATCTATTTATGAATAAAACCAAAACGGCTATTTATCAAACTTACTTATCTTATACCGGACGATAATTTGTAGAATTTTTCAAATAATTTGAATACGTTAATTGTTAAATGGAAATAGTTTAAATGAAAGTTGGATAACATGAACAACACGTGCGTGGTCAAATTAAGTGCATTTCTACCCACATGAGAAACACATTTTCAGACACTTTAATGTAGCTTACTATAGGACCTTAAATTATCCACTAATTGTACATGCTAGTCACCAATATAACAAATATAATAATATTCAAGCTTTTTTAAATTAATCTTATACAGGATGGCCCATCATTATAATTTAATTGCTTCGAGAATGCCTAGAGATAGGAAAAAAAAATCGCTCATTCCTAATTTTGCGATCCGCAAATCCGCAATTATTTTCAAGTATACAGTGTGCAACAGGAAAGCACTACGGACAACCACTTCGCTTTTTTAAATTAATATACCTTAATGTTCTTTTCGTTTCTGCATTAAATTTGCAATACTTTCATTAACCTAGTCTGCAACATTACTGTTTGCTTGTATCGTTGACCAACAATTTAATTTTTTGCGAAATGTATTTTTTACAATGGACATTTTGAAAATATTTTTTTTCGGAGACAATGTGAGATCGCAGCTTATGTCTTTGGCTTTTAGAGGACGAAATACGGTTATACGGACAAATTATTTATTAGCTATAGCATTTTCTACAAATTTCAGTAAAATTATTTTTATGGATCCCATAGTATTTTTGATATCAGTATGTCCTATAAAATGCTAAATAAAACCAAGTGAAAAAACTTATGGTTTCTATTAAAATACATACAAAGGGTTAGTTGGCCGGTATTCAATGATTATAAATTTAAAGCAAAATTAAGAAATTATGAAAAAAGAACTGTTTTCGTTGAAGTGGCTATCGCTTTTAAAGCTTGAAATTAATGTTATGGTTATTTCGATATTCAGAGAAAATTTAGCAAAATATATGTTATTTAAGTAATTTTGGTAGTGGATTATTTACTTGAATTGTTGTTAACTTAGACAGATTATTTAGATTTGAGTCTCAAGTCCCATTTCAATTTAATGCAACTGAATTGTCCCCTTTTAACGTCGCATTAAGATTATTTCTGCCAGAATTTACCAAAATTAATTTTTGAGCTTTCCCATTAATCGTTTCAACTGCAACTTTGAGATTTGGAACCATAAATACCCTAAATATGAGTTCTACGTACGCTATTACATATACATACTCGTACATATCGTTCTTGATTTCTGAATTAATACATTCTCTTAAAAATGTTTTATCAAGGTATTTCTTATTTTTAATTTATTAATAATTTTTTAGATTGTTTAAATCCTGCACGTACTTGCATAAACTCAAACGATTTTTTATTATTATTTAATTATTAAATAAATCATGGTTTGTATCATAAAATAATAGTAAGTAAACAAATTATTTTTATTGCAAACTTTTACATCTTTTACATCTTTGAACAATTGAAACATTTTTTCTTATATTGCTATAGCAAATTTCTGGTAAACGGTAAGGTATAATCAGGGCAATAGTTTTTTAAACTGCTGTTTATTTTTGCCTTAGATGGTACAATAATATAATTAATAATTAAGTATTTGCTATAAGGTTTGATACATCGCGCCACCTTTTCTAAACACGTCGAATATGTACAGATTTCTATTGATATAAAAAATAAAACAATATTCAATTTGCAAAATACACACTTTAATCATCAATTTATTTATCTTGTAGCATAATGAGCTAAGGATTAATAAAAATGAATTCACACAGTGATGAAATTTTATACAGTGTATAAATATATGAGTGTTTAGTGGTGTGTAAACTTATGACACTGCGAGCAAGTTTAGTTCTACCACAACAATCAACCAAACGTTTAGTTTTGCCAACGTGTTTAGCCTCTTCTGGTAATTTGCAATTGTTTGCTGCGCTAACTGATAAATCTTGACTCAAAAACTCATTTTATTATGATTTTGTGTTGCCAAATAATCTTGAGTGCAAAGCAATTTTTATTCAAAATACACCCTTATAACAATGTTTATAAACATATTGAGGATATTTGTATTGCTGGTTTGAACTCTCGCTGCAGCAACGGAATGTGTTAATTTATTGCAAAGCATACCTACATCACTATGCAAACTATGCATAAGCAGACGCCTCTTTATTAGTTCACATATTCGTAGAATTATTATTTCAATTCAAGGAATAATTCTCACAAATGGACACTTAACCCGTGTATCATTTATCTCCAATCTCATTTGAATAGCGACAAAAATCGCTATTTTTGGGCTCACCTGTTCCGAGGCAGACCTGTTGCACATGGAGTACCGTTGTTTCTCTTTTTACGCGATGAATTGAAGGTGGAAGAACCAAGATGCGGGTACCTTTCACTAATTTCAGACGGCCTACTATGGCTAACTCACGATTACTTTAAGTGCCATCAATTTAGAGAATTTTAGACATTTTACCTCTGAACTACATCGCGGTAGACTAGAAAACAAGTCATTGCTTGCAATGTATTTCCGCGATAGTATTGTTTCGGTATAATCGATATATGATCGCTTACCACCAATTAGATCTCGGAGAGGTCTATTTATTACCGTACACATTGTTTATCTTCCAGATCGTTACTAGTAGTTATATAAAAAGATACCATTCTAGTGAAATGCTAAAATGGCTTAAATATTAAGATGGTTTAAATCCGGTTCACAGGCTACAAAACATTCGACTTATTTCTTTTTCTTATTTCTTCTATTTATTTCTTATTTCTTTCTAGTAGAAGAACTAAACGGTAAATTCTTTATTAACTTTAATATATATTGTCTATTATAGTCTAAAAGCCTATTTCTAGTTTTGATCTTTTTAGGAGTTTTTATATATTTTGTAAAGCCCGATTGGCTGTTTATACATGCTTCAACATATACTATTATGCTAAGGAAATCACTTAAATTCAGTCAGGACTTCAATTATTGAATTATTGAATTACTGAATTGAATTAAATTGTTAATAACTTGAATAGAATTCAGAAATATGTTTGCCAATACTGGCACTGTTACCTGCCATTTAGTGTTATTTACATTTAAAAATTTTTCTTAATGTGGAAATTTTCACTGGTTTATGTTTTCTCTTGTATTAAATTTATCGGTTTTTTAAATATTTTCGTTGAAACGACAAATTCTTATTGATATCTTCTGGGTACCGGTTGTTACTTTCGTATCTGAATTATTTGGATTAATTAATAAATTATTTAAATGTATATATCTTATATAATTCGTCTTATCATCGGTATGACTTGTTTTTACTTGTTGAGTAAGTTCCCGTGTCAATTAAAGGGTAGATTGTTTTTAAAATATTATATTGGAAGTTGGAAGTCAGTTATTTGGGTAAGATTTAAGTTAAAGCGAACGTGGTTCCTAAGACAACCCATCTTTTCCGTAGAAATAGACACATGATTGCTGAAAAATAACCCTGCAGCACTTTTAATCTGATTTTCTCTTGCACAGTTCATTTTAAAGCGTGAGTGTAACATTGAACCATTATTTTGGAATTATTATTATTTACAATCTATTATCACACAAAAAATTTCAAAAAAACAATATAATTCTTCCATACAGTTTACTTACATCGGCACTTTCGAAATTGAACCCAATTAAACATATTTGCCTTTCTATTTTAATTTGGAATATAAATAGTAATTTTTTTAACTAAAATGGAAAATCGTTTCTAATTAATATGATCCAAAATGAGAATAAGTGTTGTATTAAATTTCAAAATTTCAAATCTGATTCAATTGAAGTTTTATTGATTTATTTATTATTTGCACTTGCTTCTAAAACAATTAAAGTTAACTTTTATTTGTAGTATCTATTTTCTTGGGATGCATTACTTATATAAAAATGTTATGCCGTTGTTTAAAAATTAAACTTCTTTTACTTCGGTTACTTTATTGTATAGTAGGATCTTTTCCAGAAAGAAAACCATTATAAAGATTCTGCTGAGTAATTGAACGAACCGAATTCAAATTGTTACCATAATAGCACCATGAATAATAAGCGCCTTCTTATACATACAATTTATTATCGATACTTTGTAGTGATAGAATCGAAGTAAAAAATCTTGAAATGATGAAATAAAGTTAATTATTTTGTCTAGTTTAGTTGGATTCAGTCGTAGCTGTTCAGCTGTGGATTTTTTTGGATGGTGATTCATCACAAAATACATTCACACACCAAACAATTCGCACAAGTTTACTAACAAAGATTTTGTAGTTTTAATTTCATTTTGATCGTGTTTCATCATTACATTTAGAACAACTTTTATCATAATTCGTTTCTTAAAAAATCTGGTGCAACGAGTTCAATTGTTTTTGTGCTGTAAACTTCTTGGAACTAGTTAATTTATGACATAAATTACACAGCTTTACCGTCCAATTATAAATTATCACATATTTGAAAAGTAGTAGATTAGAAAAATGTTTATTAATTAATTCATTTACCTAATACGCAAAGATTAATCATGAAACTAAGTAGAACAATAAAAAATCATATATTTTTAATAAATACGCATTTTATCATTAGCAGTCATGAAACGGCATCATTAAGCTGTTCTTAGATTCTGTAATTTGTTTATACATCCCAATTTAACTACTGATCAAATCTGATATATTCAACTTAATAAACACTCTATGAATACATTTGCATAACTGGCGATCTAAATTAGAAAGAGAATAATTAACCAATAGGTAATAAAAATTTACCGTTATTTCAGAAGTATTTACAAATGAATTACACATCAATTTTGTTCATTAAATGTTTTCACCTCAGTGAAACTCGACAGCAGTAAAGCAACAATCTAATATTAAACTGTATATGCATACATGAAAAGATGCCTTTCGGACATGTCCAGATGCCATTCATAAGGACTTTAACTGCATATATGTTTTAATGGACGTTTAGGATCATGTTTGTTTGAATGTACGGGACATGGACGTGCACCAACACGACCGTTAACGCTTATTTAGTGGCGATACTAATGCAGATGCTCCGAAATTACGAGCTAAAAAAGTGTACTGATTTTAAATATGCAAATACGCTGGTCGAAGTCAATATCAGCTAGCTCATGAATGAGCAAAATCACATCTTATGCAAACTGAATTTTTCTATTTCCTGGGAAGCTCACTGATGTTATTGCAATTCTGTACATGATCTTGTAAAATAAATCTTTTTTAGAAGATATATTTTATACGGGGTGTTGGCATCATTCCTCTGGAGGTGTTGCCTGGCGGTGTTTTAGGAGTACAGAAAAAATAGAAAAAAAATTGTTATTAAAAACTGAGCAATTTGCAGAAACCTATATCAGAAAGACGGCAACAATATTTTTCAAGGTAATCTGCCTAATTAACATTACGTAAATACCTGTTGCTTCGTAATTATTAAAAACTCCGGTAAACCATGGAATTCTACAGAAAGTGACAATAAAAAAGACTACGATCAACGGTAAATTCAACAGGATTCGTTGAATGTGGAACGTACTTTTTCGAAATGTAAATTATTGTCCTCATAACCTCGAATTGATGTTTACAAATAAACATACTTTAACTCTGAACGAGTTAGTGCCTGTGTAATATCCTTAATATCCACTCATATCGAGCAGCTTCTCGTATTCGGTTAATTAACTCCTGCTCAATTTGTACCGGTGTTCAGTAAACCATTGGTTTAATGTGTCCTTGTGCAGTGTGTATTTTACATACGTGGTAGGAATGTAGCCCTTACTGGGTATTTATCTGATGCCTGGGAAGGTGTCAGTTGTTGTGCTCTGAGTACCTCTGGAAGAATCTGCTGCAACTATGTCCAATACTTGTTCTTCTGTGTCTGGAACCCGAACATCTATTGTCGTCCGCTATCTTCCTGCAGCCAATCTCCAGTGTATCTCGCCCTTTGTTGGCGTGAGTTCTTACAGCTTCTGCTATGTTACTGGGTCATTCCGAGAACAAATCGCATAATCGCAAATTCGAACGAACGGAGCTTCAAAGTAAGTCACAGTTTAACAAATTATTGTTATTATTGACAAAGGCGATTAACCTGTAACTATCTGTTCATGACAAAAAACATTATTGCCGCTTTGTCTTTTCATCAACAACTTTTTTATTATAAAAAATCGTTTTCGTTTCGTAATTTGAAGCAATTCATTGAACAATTTTAAAATCATGCTTGTCATTAAAAAATAAAATGTTTCAATATTTTTATCGTACTCTATAAGTGAGCCCCTTGGAATGACGCCAATTTTGAATCACCCTATATATGACCTTGAATTCTTTATGTGGTTTATTAGAAAGTCGGTTATTTTCCTTTATGATTCCTTTTATTGAGTTTCTACTGATAGGTAGTAACAGGTGATGAGTATTTTGTTTGAAGATAACTCAATGAAAACAATGTGTCTAGTTTAATCTGATTCAAGTGACTGATCGGAAGAGCATCAGTATAGTTAACCATTACAAGCCAAATAGCGCACATATTTTATTTGGAAAACGTACGCATGCATAAATGTTCTATCAAAAAATTCGGTGGGAAACATATCACCATCATATGTCTTTAATGCCATCGTTACATCCTTTGCTTTCTTCTTTTCTTCGACAATACCTTAAGGTATGTTAATTGCAAAGCCTCAATTCGGTTAATTCTCTGGTGAGACAGAATTCCAGTTATTACCTTTCCGTGTTTAGCGATGTATTGCTGTATGCACTTGGGACATTCTATTTATATATTCACACCAATACCTCCTTTTTTTCCTCCTCTATCTGACTATATCCTCCACCTTGCATACCGCTCTTATGTCGCTGTTTCTCACCCTGTCTCTAAGTGTCTTCCCTGCGATAATTCTTAGAGTTTTCATCTCAACTGTTCTTAGGATGCTCTTTGACTTATATGTGTCAGCTCGAGTTTCGATACCAGAAGCTAGCACCGTTCTAACACAGGACTTACAATATAAGTTATAACACATTTTTTCTTTATACAGACCGACAGTTTTTAAACAGTTAGTGAAGACTTCCATCAAACATGGCATATGCACATGCCAACAGCATTATATTCAGAATTTTGTTGCTTTTTGTGAAATCCACAAAAGTAGAAAGGAATTTTCGATGCCTAAAAGTAATATTACAACCATATCAACATCCATTGATTATTTACCGTAATGCATTCACGGTGATGATGTTTATGTTGTTGGAAAAGGAATAATCCATATTCGACATCTTCTTGCTGGAGCGTGCGTTGTAGTGGGTTTTGTTGAAATTCAAAAAAGCGTTTGTGATAAATATGTAAGAATTCTTTACTAAGTATATATTTTAAGGTTTTTGAATTAATGGAAATTAATTGTAAATATAATTTCCAGATATTGTCATAATCTTTCACTGAAACTGCACCGGTTAACAACAGCAGAAATGTTACTTAATTATTCCAAAAAGGTCTCAGCTCGTCCTTTTTCTGAATCTAAGGTAATAGCATTATGTGAT